CTTACAGTGTTAACTGACGTCACTCATGTAAGTACCACGGGAAGTTAAAACAAAAAGGCGAATTTGTTTATAATTGAAGTAGTCTTTTTGATATTTATGTGTAGACCTTAGCCTAATTATACTGTATGTTATAAAACTTCTTTTTTTTAAATACCTTTTGGTTAACTTTTCATTTTGATTTTTATCTTGGTTGTCATGTTTGTATTTTTTTGTCTGTGTCTGTTTCATCTTTCTGTGTATCAAGCCTTTAAGTGGCGATTTATTTTCGCTGTAGGTTTTGATTTGAAATATATAAATAAATAAATAAAATAGTCACATGGGTGCCGATTTATATCAGGATTCAAGGGTGTGGGGGAACCAATCATGGAGGAAGCCAATCATTTCATCGAAGGGACACCGCTTAAAAAAAAAAAAAAAACGTTTTTCAAAGTCCGAGAGTTCCATTTCCAACTCCAGAGATAATTAAAAAATGCTCACATCATCATCACCAATATTTATTTCACATTATTTTACAGGGACTACTCGTCCATCGATACAGTGCTGAAGACAATTGCTATATATCCAGCCTTGCGGATTTCAACGATACAAGATCGGTAGGCCTACGTCATCATTTTTTCCCTCCTAAACTAGGCCTATCAACGGAGATTATCTATTTTCGTGCTTCCTTCCTTCCTATTGACCATTCTGCAGTGTTAATCAAACTTAACAACTGACCAATCAGAAATTGACCAGGAATACGCGCTTGTCCCACAAACACATTTTGTCCCATAAATGTACGTGTTTAAATACGTTTACGCTGACTTGGATAAACATAGCAACAATATCCAAGGGGTGAAGTTTGAAATTCAGGTGCGGATCCAGAGATTTTCTGACGAGGGGGTGGGGGACCATAATATGAAGTTCACGCCACCACGCCCACCTCCGCCCTACCATGGTTGGTGTTAATAAGTGGTAAACAATCAAGCTCTTTTTCTCCCACTGCTGGATTGCCACTGAACTCATGGGTGGACTTTCATTTCTTTAAATCAAATTTTTCTCCCCCTTTTTTTATTTTTCGGCTTGACCGATGGGGGGAGGGGAGGGGTCACAGGCCTTCGTGCCGCCCCCACCCCCGCTGGATACGCGCCTGGAGTTTAGCTATGTCAATTGCAATAATATGTTGCGTCCATTATTTGACACGGAAAATTGAATGGGAATGCAATATCTAAGGTCTTTCTATTTGATCATTTCAGGAACAAGAAAACCTCTCGGGTGTTTTCAAGTACAGATTGGAGCCAACTTCAGAGATTAACCGTCAGTATTTCAGCTACACGGCTACTGCCTCGTTGAAACGCGTTTGCAGTGGAGCTGAAAACATATTATGGAGTGAAATCCACGTCGATGATGAGCAGATGACGCGACAGAAACGCGGATGCACGGTCCAGTGCTCATATTGGTGTTGGTGGTTTTTTTGCAGTCGTAGTTGCAGATGCATTTGTTAATTTTAAAATGATTTAGCAATATTAATTATATGTTCTTACATGATAGCGCAGGCCTAATGCTCGATCTTATATCATAAATAATTTGTATAAATATAATAATTAATTACCTTATTAGTTAGTTACTTTGCTGATCATAGTCACAACATTTCGCATTTAAACATTACTTTGAAATACAATATTTTTTCATAAAATAAATTTCATATTTTACAAAAACGTTCCGTTATAGCCTTGACAAATAACCATACCCAACGATAAACTGTTGTACCTTGAAAATGCATTCTTTCACTGTATTTTTTATTTTATTTGCTCAAAATTCTACAGTAACGGAAGTTGCCAATTATTACAGATAATGGATTAGGCCTATATGTGAAATACACAAAGTTACATATAAAAATACAATAATTACACAAATAAGAGTTAAACATTTGTTAAGTGCACCTCTGAAATTAAAAGTCAAAAATATAAATATATGATGGACAATTATGTTTTTATATATTTATGCAATAAGTTTTAAAAGTTTAATGAATTTTGACAAAATATTAATGTTCGCATCTGACTGAATTAACGAAATAAAAGATTAGAATCGGTTTTGAATACCCTTTTTGGAAACATTAATCTCATTGTATTGAAAAGAACATAACAAGTGAACTTTATCTTAACAGAATGAGAATATGAAGACTAAAAAAATACAATCACAACAGGCAATTAACACTGACTTTTTTTGTACAAAAATATTAAATCAAACACGCTTCTTCAAGACCATTGTAATTGGAAATATTAAACTTTCGATTAAGAAATCTTTGTTGTTGACGCTTTGGGTGTAAATTTGTTTTGGACGCATTGTATCCAAGGGTCATCATCGACACGTTCATAGATTTACAGTATTTCAGAAAGTAACTGTTAGATGCCTTGGTTGAGGCTGTGTAAAAAAAAGTCTTTACCTTCATGATTTTTTACCGTACGATGACTTATGTATGAAAACCCGCTGTCGACTCGAAGATCAATCTGAGACGGCCCGAGCATTTGATGCAGTCACATCGATAAAAATAAAAATAGGAGTTGAGCGGCCGTAGATAACTGTGCCCACAACATGATGACGATTCGTAAGTTTAAATTTTAATTTTAATGGAAGCGGTTTGGTACAGCGGGAACGGACTGGTTTCACAACCTCGAGGTCGAGGTTTCAATCTCTCACTGTGCATTTCGCTTGTGTCATTCAGCAAGGCATCTGCATTGCTTCTCTCTACCCTGCGATAGTTCAGTCCCATCAGTTAGATTTGTCAAAAAAATCATCTCCAATCAGAAACTAAGTCACAATAAAAAAAAAAATTTAAAAACAAAAAACTGTTAAGGGGACGCGGACACTTTCTGAGTGTCAGTGCCAAAATGCGAAATAACCTCCTAAGGGGACATATAATTTATTTTATCATTTTATCACAACAACTACAGCAGTCTCAAAATAAGAAAACCTCATTCAATTTCATATTTTAACACCTTTTGAGTAAATAATCAGATTTTTCTCCCCTGAATCCAAGAGTAAACGCCGGTACAGGCCTACTGAATGTGTTACGTCATATAAACCAATCTTGTCAATTTTGACCCTTAACAATGGGGACTTCGTTTTCTCTTGTTTTTCGTGTACTTCCTTTTATATATATATATATATATATATATAAAGTTTAGTTTTGGCCTTCCTGTTTACTTGTTTAGACTGTTTATTCTAATCCCACCTAGCCTAGCCTATTGTTTCTAATCATGCTTGCATGAAATTCTGTCTTTATACTATCTGGCTTTTTCAACGTGTATTATCATTGAAAATTCTAGTTATTAAAAATAAATTTGAAGTTTAATGCCACTGGCTGTCAAAAACGTAATGTTGAATCTGCTACAGTCCTGTTTCTGGTGTTCTTCTTTAGCCACTCAATTGCTGCACAAACCCCCGGCCCATAGCCAAGGGGAAGAAGACAGGGGAAATCCCCCTGCTTAATGTTTGCCACTCCCCCACCTACTAAAATCAGTAGTAGGTGGGGGGGGGGGGGGTAGGCAGGGCCATTCAAATTCAGCTCTAACAATGATATGCTGAGGTGGGCGTAGCATTTCCGGTAGGCCTACTTGATCCCCACCCCCAATCAAGGGGGTGGTGCTTCCTTCACTTCATCGTGGCAATGAGGGACTGTCAAACTCATTGGAGAATTGCTTATTAAAGATTTTGAACATAGGGAAGGCCAATTAACGCAAGAGACAATGACATATTTCTTTATGTAAAGGATGGACAGTTACACAGCTAAACCTAAAGTAAATGTTATGTTTACTCTATAGCTACAGTCGGCAACCGTTTACTCCTTAGGATTGGTCATTTTTGCCATAGTTTCCCACTACCCAAAACCGCCACTTATCTTAGAAATGTCATTCAAGATACAAAATATACAACCAATGTAATACAGTAGAACTCTCCTTTAAGGCACTGCTATTCTGGGGACACTTTTCTGTGAAATGAGGGGAATTTTTATATCTTTTAACACTACAGCCAACCCCTATTAAGTGACATCCCTATTAATGGGACGGGAACACTATTTGGGTGTGTCAGATTTTCAAATCAATAAATATTCAACCCCTGGAGGACACTTCACGAATATCTGTCCTGATCGCGATTTATTTTATTTTTTTTTTTTTTTCCATTAGAGAGCTAGTTACTCAATGGAGGACCAATTGTTTTTAACGTAGGTAGTTTGGTAAAACCTCATGAATTATTCATAATCATTCTTATAGAACATATTTTGCGCATGCGCTATTTTCAAGTCTGTGTCAGCCACAATGATCAGCTGCTCTGTGCATATATCGCGAGGAAACACATAAAAAATAGAAAAACTCTAAAAAAAAAGCAATTTAATAAGGGAACATCAAGTTATGAATTCAAGTAAAAATTAATAATTCGCAAATTAATTTAGAGCGACTCGAACTCCGCTGATTTTTAACGAGCACACTCCGAGTAGTAAATTACTCCTCGGAAAAAGACTATATCGAACACGCCGTTGAGGCTGACGCAGACTTGAAAATAGCGGATGCGTAAAATAAGTTCTATTAAGGATGATTATGAATAATTCATGAGGTTTACCAAACTATCCTACGTTAAAGAATGTGCCCTTCTTAGTCATATCTATAGAGGACGCTATATATGTCGTAGCTGCGTAGAGTGTAGGTGGTCACACGGAAGTTATGATTATTATACATCTTGATTCTAGGCCTAAATGATTTTTAGGGTAATTATATTGGATTTTTTTGACATATGATTATAATATTGTGATATCTAGGCTTAGTGAGGCTCGAGATCCTTCGGTTATTTACCACCACTGTCTAGCTAGGCCCTAGGCCTAAGAGACAGGTAGGCCTAGGCCGCAGGCGCGCCCTATTTCCATGCCTATTTAAGTACTTACCTAACTAGGCTAGAGGGCCTTGGCTACACCCGATGGTCAGCGCCTAGGCTAGTAAAGCTGATGCTTATCCTAGTGTAATGCCCTGTCCAGACTATCATTTAAATTTTATTTGACAAAAACATTTGACATCATATGCCTAGCACTTGCCTAAATATTAAATTATTATCGTAAAGGTGAACTCTGAAATTGAAGTGGCACACGCAATTTCAGCGTATGAGAAGGAAACAATTTCCAAATGTGTCATTGAACACATTGACAAAGCATATACCAAAGAAGGTAGGGACTAATTTATTATATCTTCTTATATTTATATAATATATAATTGATGATATTTTCATGATCTGGACCCATGGTGAAGATAGTTTGGATACGTTCCTATTGAACATTAATTCGGCTCATCCCACAATCAAATTCACTGCTAACAAATCCACAAGCAGTGTAGATTTTCTGGACATCACCGTGACCATGGAAAATAGTGCACTCAAAACTGATCTCTTCCGTAAACCCATGGATAAGCATATGTACCTGCTCCCTAGCAGCTGTCATCCCCCGCACTGTACAAAAAACATTCCGTACAGCCAAGCATTGCGCATGAGATGCGTTTGTTCTTCGGATTTAGATTTTCAAAATCGCACAGAAGAGATATCCGGACATCTCCGGAATAGAAATTATCATCGAGGACCCATCGAAATGCTGTAAAAAAAGCAAAGGACATACCTCGTGCTCAAACACTGACGTACAAACCACGTCAGCGATCGACCAGAGTGCCACTGGTCACCACCTATCACCCTAGGTTACCACCACTAAGGGCTATAATTCAGAAACATATGCCCATTCTACAGACCACAGATCGTCTTAGGTCTGTTTTCCGGATACACCGTTCATAACCTATCGCAGACCACCTAACCTT